AGTGCGTCACGAAGTTCAGTGCAAGTGGTCCATTCGACGCTTCAATCGCATTGGCTGAATGTGAGGGAAGGGGCGAAGCTTATCTGATTTTTTAAAGAGATAGTTTACCCAAAAATGTGATCAATGAGTTGAACAAACGCCAACTAAAAAAAGTGTCTATAATAATATTTTATATTTTGGACTTTTTTATTGACAGAAGAAGGGATGATCTGATATTTACTGTGTGCAGAATTTTCAAAACTCATCGGAACATGAAGTCACTACAGTGCCTCAACCTTAAGTTTATCAAGCGACGAGAATACTTTTTGTGCGCAAAAAACAAACAAAAATAACAACTTTATTCAACTATTAATTTCCTTCTCTGTGGGCCTCGAGTTAGTTCACGTGGTGTAACAGCGCAGTGCTTCTGTGTTCGCATCACACACATGACCAGCGTCGGCCAATAGTGAGCCTATACGTGTGACGTACAACACAGAAGCTTTGCGCAGTTACACTACGTGAACTCACTCGAGGCCCACAGAGAAGGAAATTAATATTTGAATAAAGTCGTTATTTTCGTTTGTTTTTTGTCTTACGGGGTTGGAACAACATGAGGGTGAGTAATTACTGACAGAATTTAAATTTTTTGGTGAACTATCCCTTTAAGGCAACACAAAAATGCTTTAAAAAAAGCACAATTGTTTCAACTCAGGAAACTTGTTTCAGACAGGTTCTCATCGCACCATATAACGTCAAGTGTTTGTTCTAATTTCAAATGAGATTTACAGATAACCAATAAAATATTTTTTGACTTTAATTATTAATTCTTTGTAGAAATGCAGTCAAGAGTTGCATAAAATAAAAATGGGTATTTAATGGGATTAAATAAATTTGCTACATTCAAGACCCTTTTTATTCTACATCTAAAAACCAAACGTTTCGGATGTGCCTTGTTGCCTTCCTATCTCCGTGTGCAACCTTCAAATGTATAATTTTCCAGGTTTGCAGCCCTTCTGTTTTCCGTGCAGGCTGTTTGTCTGTTGGTCAAGGAGGCTTGACTTCACATTAATACACTTTGGAAGTATACAGTCACTCACAGTGCCTTACAGTGTGATCCCTGGCCTTGGAAATATCACATTGCCCCAGGCTTTCCCTGTATGAAAGGAGAAATGAATCCTCTCAGCTGTAGTGTGCGGTTATTTTTAGAATGCTGAATGGAGTTGCAGTTCCGTATAAAGCCAGATACTGTTTCATTTTAGAATTAAAGGAAGTTGGCCACTAAAATATTTTGTTGCCGTAGCCTAAATATCGGCAGACTGTACACTGAGCTTAGGATTTCACTTCTTTCTTTTTTTCTTTTACATGTTGATCTCTTTCCTCAGAGGACAATGCTTCATATGACCAAAAGAACATGGGTCAAGTGTGCAAATACATGTTTCAGGATATTAACTATACATTATCCAGCCTCATTTCTCTTAGAGAATTTCAGTTAGCTGAGCAGAGTTCAGAGGTAAATCTCTTTTCTTTACAGTTCCTTAGCAACCAGAACTTATTTGCATATAGTTGTAAAAGGATGAACAAACACTTTTATTTTTGTTTTTATAGCAATCGTTCACTTTAACGGCCAATAAGGTCAATGCATTTTCAGAACGTTTTTTTTTTGTTGCTTTATCGCGCACAGTAACTATAGTTTCTTAACAAAACTTTGTACAAATAATTACAATAAAATGCTTTATATACATCTAATAATAATCTATTATATGTCTCAAGGTAAAAAGCAGGAAACTGCTTAAATGCATCATGCGGTGGTATGGAATGAATTTCAGTTGTCCTTTTTAACCACATTCTGTCTGTTTTTTTTTAAAGGTCAGGGGGCAGAAACAGAACAAGGCACCAAGATATTTAGAGGCAAATCAGCAAGAACATTCGACAGGATTCAACACCATGAATTCCCCTGAAGCCTATTCTTGTTTAAACTGGCCAATGCCCAAGAGCGAGCACTCGCTCATTAATATTCATTGACACCTGAGTGTAATAATAATGATGGGCAAATGTTACCATTTCTATCCCTCACTCGTTGAACAATCAGTTATAAGAAATCCCTGTATGCCTTGGTATAATTCTGTGTTTAATAAGGATTTGAAAGAAAACTGCAGGTTTCTTAAGGCTCAGCTAAATCCTGAAACACTGGGATAAAACAAAGTGCTGGAATTTGCTGCCAAATAATGTTTTCACACTGTCAGTTCATTTGAAAGCTAGGAAATTATTATTTCAATATTATGATATTTGAATTGTATCATCCCCTGAAACGGTAAAATACAGTAAATACAACAGGCTCCATACTAACCCATTGGATAATGGAAATTAATAACATCCTAAAATAGTGAATATAAAAAAGAGAGAGGAAGATGATTCTTACAACAATGACAAATTTATTTAATCATTTATTTGAGCTGCTTCAGCAAGTGTATTTACAAACAATGGCATTTAAAGATATAAAAACGTGTCATATCATAATGCAAGTCAGCACTGTACCGTCAAGAGACGTCACAGCAAATGTGTCTAATATTCAGGCAACACAGCCAAGAAGCTAAGGGAAATGGTGGTTTAGATATCATGGTCTTCACAGCTGTTTGAAGAAGCAGGTGTGGAAAGAATTAGAAAATTATGTCTAACACTGAAGAAATATTTTCTGGGATAAAAACGATGAGAGAATACAAGCACATGACTGCCTTGTGGTGAAAAATGCAGGAAGTTCAATGAGATAGACTTTTTCATATGGACAAAAACAGCCACTGCAGGTGTTATATGAAAATAATGTTTCCTGAATTAAATCTACTAAAAATGTACTTGTAGGTTTGTTCCCATGACAATAAATTGATGACAGCATTTTTTTTGTGGTGCAACATCAGAGCATTGCAGACTTAAGATGTTCCACGGGGGATTTTTAAAAAATGTAGATGGGTTTTGAAGCATATGATTTAATGATAGTACAGTGGTGCTTTTGAGGATGGACCAGCACACATTCCTAGTTGTCTTCATGAATATTGAACCGTTTAACTGTTGCTCAAAATGAAAACAAATGTTTAAATTAAATTAAAAAAGTATTCTGATTGAAAATGTGTATTTGATATTATGCTTCTTTTTTACTGGAATATTCCTAAATGTCTCATTTCATTTATCACATCACTTTATGATATGATGCTAGACAACGTACGGATACATAGCATCCATAGGACCCATGTGCTCCTGTATAACCAGTGTAAAAGAACCATAGAAGCTAGCCTACTCAAAAATAGCCGTATATCGTATTAAAAACATCGTATTATGTGGCTTACCCAACTGTCGATACGTAGATGTGAATGAAAAACATGGAAACCATTCGAGCAAGGAGAACAGGGACTGGGGCAAATATTTACCCTGTTTTTTGTGTCTGTAAAGGCCATTACTATTGATCCCAGCAGGAGATCTCATCTTTCTCCCTCTCTGGCCAAGTTCACAAGAGTAACGCTAGCCCCATGGCTAAACTGGACACCGCGCTCCTCCTGTGCTGCTGTCGATTTTTTAATTCCAGAAATAACCCACATGAGGCCTCGCAGTATGTGGTCTGCGTGCCAGGCACTTTGGACAACATCAAAGAGCCTATTAAATCACGTTAGGGTGTCAGCTGCCACCGGGGTGGAAGCGACGCACCGCTACTGTTTCAGTAGATCCCAGATGAGCTTTTAGAGCGCACAGCTCCGTACTGAAAAAGTAAATAAATACAAAACAGCATGGTTGAAATGCACTTTGATAAAAGAAAAGTCCATGTGAGGATTCGTTTTGAGGATATAAGAAAATAACTGAATTACTTTCACTTTATGCCTAGAAAAAAGAACCCTTGAAAACAGTTTTTACATAATTAATTCAATTGGCAAAGGGATGAGCTCAAAATGTTGACTGGATTAAAATGTTAATGTGGTTCATTTTGGTTCCTCTAGGGTAAAAAGACAGGAAGCATTTACAAAACTAATGCAAGCCATTTCCCCCTCCCGCCCATCCATAACAATGGACCCCTTTAAGGAGTGACGTGACCCCTGACGGACATGATATGTAGACGTACAACTGTTTTTTCCCCCCTGATATCATTTCAAGAATTGACTCGCTAAAATACTAAACCATAATCAGAAGTTACTCTGCAATGCGGTTGTTATTCGTATAAATCAAGGTAAGTTGACTGAAGCTAGGCATTTTGTGTTCCTTTCTCCTGAATTCTGGCTGATGACTAGCACAACAAGTGTCAAGAGCACTAAGACTGAACAATAAATAAGAAAAGTATGATTCACCAAACAAATTAGTATATTCACTCAAACGATTGATCGGTGAGGCTCCGTACTCCTAACAAAACATCGATTTTGGCAGCTACACAAGAGCATTTTACTTCAAGAACACCATATCTGCGTTTCAGTCCCATGTACACCTGTACACAATGTACAAAAAGAGTGCTTATCTTTTTCTTTTATCTACGAAAACTCTTCAAAAACGTCACCGTTCACCTGAGCACCTGAGTCAACGTGGACTACTCTGGTTTAGATATTAAAACGCTCCATGCTCTCCCTTTTATAAGGGATGCTATCAGGCAACAATTTGCCATGATATCTAGTAGAGTCAGCAGTTGAGTCCATAGTGATGACGTTTACCCACAATGCAAGTGGAGAGATCCCTCAGATAGTCCTCTTGATCTGTTATAAGACTTCTCTTTTCTGGACGGCAACACAGAAAGAGGTCTTTGTGAAAAAGTCATTTTCTTCCTCTGCCCCCAATTACAAGGCCCTCTCCAACGTTACATAAGGGCACTGAGAGGACACAGACCTATTTTTGTATACGTGTCATAGTTTAGTGGGTTTTATTTGTGTGTACAAGAGCGCTTTTTTTTTCATGGGATAGAGATTTTGTTCATTGAAACCCATCCAGTTATATCGTCAAAAGATGAGAATCACAAATCGTTGCGACTTCCTGCGCGAGAAACTACTTTTCAGCTCAGAGAAAGATATTCCTTAAAAGTGCTCGATCACGAGTCCTCCTGTATACTTCAGGTGTGTCACTGTGCATATATGGGATGCTATAAGGAGGACAGTGAAGCCAAAAGAACCAGCGCTGAGGCCAACAAGGGCCCTACAGTCTGAATGCGGCCGGCACCGTTGACATCACTTCGGGATGGTTCGGCAGATTCATGACTCGTTCCATCTAAATGGAGAAAAGAAAGTAGTATTAAAAGAGGTTTAGAATACCTTAGTGTGCAAAAACATTTGACATTACTGATAGTTTTAAATATGGAAATGCCTTTGACATCCAATACGAACCATTATTATTTTCTATGGAGTTAATGCTTCCATCATTGATCTTGTCCACGCGGTCGTGACTTTTCTCGCAGTTGTCTGAGGGAGAAACATAAAACAGGGTGTTGTCAGGGTCATGATATCATCTTTAACTATTCCAGCAGTGATAAACGATACAATTGCAACCACGTTTTGTCAGAAGCCATGCCAGGATGTCTCCTGAGGGGCTTGTAAAACTTACTCGAAGGTCTGACGAAAACTTTCAGCCTCAAGCAGCTCCGTCTCCCATTTTCACTGACTGTAGATGCTGTGGAAACATTTTAGATAGTCAATATTAGGCTCAATCGATCCATGCTACACATTGTTTAATACATCAAGTCATTTTTTTAGCTTTAGATACATTACAGGGCTCAACAATAAGGATTTTTTTCCCTACTGGCCTGGTCAGATACGCAGATTACGCGCACTGCCAAAATTTTCATCAAGTCATTTAGCTAATGCTTTTTTCCAAAGCGACTTGCAAATGAGGTACAACAAGTCATTTATCAGAAGAGACAATATTTACAGTGCACAATGCTTCAAATGTGAGCAGCCATTGGTTTGATTGATTCCTCCAACAACAAAAGACAAAACCTCAAATTTAGCCAGTGGAAGTTAGAAAATGATTTCTTTTTTGACATGCTTTCCAAAAAGGTAAAAGCAAAACAGTTTCACAGGCCCAAGGCCACTAGGATCATTTGTTTCAGGTTTAGTCTATCAGTACATCCTCAGGTGTTACCTGTCTTCGCAGTTTGCGGCTTTCTACATGCAAAGGCCTCATTTGAATGCTTGCACCGGCCTCAGAGGGATGTACAATCAGCATTCATTTTGGTTCTTACTGATAGACGCAGACGGTGCTACATTTGCTATGCTGTTACCCTTGTCATCTCAACCGTGAGCCATATTTCTCAATTTGTCCTCTCCATAAAGAAAAGCTTATTAGTGCTTTAAGAAGAACAGGTAGACAGCCTCTCTCTCCACTGTCCTCTCTTTGTGCAGTACATAATGCAATCTGGCATAGTCAGGGAGTGATGCAAATGAGGACCAGTGGGATGAGGGGGAAAGAAGGCTTGATATTTTTCCCCACAGATCACTCTGGATGTAAAGGTGACAAGGTAATGAGCAATGCAACGCACTTCAATAAATCCCCTTCTTCAAAGCCTCAATGTAATAGGTGCGGACTGCACAAAATGCAATTTCCTTATAGCCAACACAATATGTTCTTGATAATTCAATTGGTGAGGCTCGCTTTCACTGATGTGGACATGTGCTCCACTGCGATTTGAGTTTTTCATGATGGAAAAAAAAAAAACCTAGACGCAGATGTCTTGTTTTTCTGGTTGAATGCCTAAAATTTTGATTATTTGACAATTTGCATACGTCAGCATAAATAAGATAAGACTAATGTTCACAGCACATACGGTCCATTAGTGGCACGGTGATGAATTAGTCTTTCTTTCCCTTTAAATTTGTTTACTGGCAGCAAATATTTATTTTTATACATCTTAAACACAGACATCCCTAACAACAGGTTATACTGTATATATATATATATATATATATAAAAAAAATTATGGACAGAAAATTTGTGCTACATCTTTCCGAGCTCTTTTCCTAACCTCTGCTGGTTGTGACCTTTCCACAAGCCTCTTAGATGTTGATTGGTCACTACATACATCAACACCTGCTACTTAAAGCTGTACTGGCAGCTAGTAACATCAACAGCTGCAAATGACAGATCACAGACCGAAAGAAACACCTGCCACTAAAAGCTCTGTAATCAGCTGTGATGATACAAATGACTTTCTGTTCAGTCCATAGACCATATCGCCAGTGACTCTGAACTGCTGAACCTTACATCATCTCCTCCAGTCATACTTCATGAATCCACAGTACTGGTTCATTGAGGAAATATATAGGTCATTGAGTATATAAGTCTATGATAAAGAAGTGGAGAGTGGAAAAATGCAGTTTAAAATGCATGTGCTGAGTTCCCAGCAAGTCAAGGTGCAATAGGTGATCTGAGAAATGCTAACTTTAGCCTGCTAGCATTGAAAGCATAGGATCCCACAAACCCTGCAAATTGCCGTTCAAAGGCCCGCCTCCTCCAAAACACATGAACGCACTCAGACCACAAGTGAGATGAATAGAAACGTTATGGATTGCATCATGTGTCATTCACCAGTGAGAAAACTTTATAGTAGTGAGGGGAGAAACAGAAGCACTTGCTTACATACGTAAGCATGTGATTGTGAAATGAGTCAGAAGTTGAGCTGTTGTTGACATAAAGGAAAGAATGCACTCTATTTCAGCTTAATTCATATACGATTTCAGGACATAGAGGCAACACAGTCAAATTAATTAATTATCTGCATAGGGCAGTCATTCGGACCGAATGAAATGATTAAAGGAACATTTTATGGTCCTACTGTATGTCTTCCACAGATCAGATGATGTATATTTATAAAAATACATTTAGACCGCTTAATATAGTGATTGCTATCAGGATGTGAGGAGAATTTCAACCAGCATAACAAAAACAATTCTGTAGAGAATCACATATTTAACTTTTTAATTCTTTATAATTCTTTGGTATCAAAACTTATATAATTTTCTATACAATCTTAATGACTCAAGAAATATTTTTATAAATATACAATATATATATATATATATTTAGCAAAGTAAAATTAGTTAAATGTATCATTTGAATTGTAATTTTGAATATTAAAATATATTATATTTGAGAAATATATAAAAAATGTAAAGTATTAATTAAGGTGTTTACACTCACATACATTTAAGGATTTAAGGTGTAATGAAATGTGTAATTATACTTTTTCCTTTCCTTAGAGTCACTAAACTGAAAATGTTACAGAAAATTATATAAAAGTTAAGAAACGTATTAATAAGAGACATATTGACCTTGACAGTCATTCGAGTCATTGAATAAGTGAACTGTATTTTAATGGGTTTTTTTTATAAATTAAAAGAAAAAACGGCTTGCCATTGAACCATATATCTGTTTAACTCTTTAAACCACCATGAAAGTGTCAAGATGAAGCTATAACAGGATCTGTTGCCTGTAGAGAGAAGAAAAAGAAACAAGAGAAAGACATGTTGGAAGAAAAGAATTATAACTCTTTTCCCCATTAGCTGACTGGCTCATCTTTGAGCTTGCAGACATTCCCATAATGCACCATGGCTCTTCTAGCCTTGACCCCCATGATTCCCTGCTGTGTGGGGTCTCCAGCTGCACTTAATCTGCTGTCTCTCTTCTTATCCCCACACCCTCATGACTGCAGGGAGAGGTTGGGTTAAATCAATGTGCTTATATGCTGTCTACACTGACATACTGGGGGCTTATAAACCCTTAATCATGTCCCCACAAGCATATTTCCTTTGATATGGCTGAAATTGCTTTTGTCTCATTCCTCAAGTCTAGTCTAGTTTTGAGTGGGATCCCAGTGTTGATTGGAAACACCACTTTACACACACACACTGTACATCACAACCTTATGTGGGCTACTACCACAATAAATAACATCTGAGTGTGAGTGTGCAAACGGAGTATTGCATAATGTAGTGTTAGTATTGCCACAGAGTCCAGAATTAACTTTTTACCCAGAGACGTTAGGATGCCATCCCGGGGTTATAACTGAAAATAACATAAAATTATCTGAATAGAATTAAATAACAACTTTTCCTGCAGCGGCATCATACGCGAGGTTAAACAGTTATACAAATGTGAAGACCACCTATCTATTCTTGAGTTTAAAGTAAGAAATATTTCATGTGTGTCAACTGCGCAAGTTAAAATTGTTTAAAGTCATAACAAATGCTTTCTTTAGAAAACGGTCTGTACACAGTCAGACTGTTAATCTTACAGCTTGATTCAACAAAATATTAAGTTGCAGTTCCTTATGAAGTTATCAGTTACTGGCAAGCAAATCACTATTTACTCATCAAAGCAAATTTTTACTTGCAAATTGCACTTGACAAGTATTCATTTTGGACCCTAAGTACTGTATATGTGTCTGCATGAATGCTCAATGCCAACAAGAAAACAATTCTCTAGGCTCAAGGCTCTCACCAAAATTCTTTTAACATAAACTGTGGCAATAATCAACAGTCTTGGCCGTATTAGGAGGATTTCATCGGTGGCTTATATGACAAACTCTCATTTTGACAGTGATCAGAATTCCCTCGCTGTCAGCATGTGGTGTGAAACTGACCTCTCATTGGCAGACATTAAGACTAGACTACTACACCAACTCTGCTTATTCAAAGACACACTACACTGTCACGGCCCGAGCTGCTCATCCACGTCTCCTTTCCCACACGGCCGACACCAGATCCCTGTGTAGTTATCCACCCGAGCTGCAGACGACCCGGGGCAATAAACCTCCCAGACACCACTATTCCAGCTATGGGTTGAGAGATCAGATGTGATGTAACCGAGAAGTCTGATAAATGAGGGAAAGATGGATGGATGCTCCGTCTTTGAGATAAGACACACACACCTATCTCTTTTCTTGTGCATTCTTGAGTGCTTTGAGAGCGCTTTGTAATACGGGGAATAATTTTGGCTCAGGTAGCGAATACATCACTTATAAGTAAACCGCAAAGTACAGAATTCTTATCAAAGCTACAAATCAGATCTTACTTTAAGCACACAGTGGGAATGTTTCTGGTTACCTTACCCAACATTATGAAGATGGAGGGACTAGACTACAAATAGCAGTCGTGGTCTTTTGAAGCGGGCTCATATCAGACAGCCTGCACTGCCGTTGGCCCCCGCTCACGCAGGAGGGAGAGGCCAACTAAAAACCTTTCCTTGAAATTGGATTTCTATCCTCTGAGATTAAGATCAGACTTCCACATCGGCCATATTGGAAAAACATGCTGCCTTGAGCCGTTCAGGATTGTGAGTTCAACTGCAGTCATCAGAGCATGTTCACATTTGACCTGCAGGGCCGGGCCCTCTGATCCCCCGTGATCGCTTCCTGAGCGGGACGGGCACGCTGACTGACAGCACAGAGACCGCGCTTGTCACCCTCTGCTCTCCTGGAGCGACCCCCTCACTCAGAATGATTAGCCACCACACCAGCTAACAAAGACATTCTGTCTAACGAAATCATGACAGGCAGACATCAAACTAATGAAGAGAATGATTTAGGAAAACTGAATGTTTTTTTTGCCTCTTGCTATGATCTTTATTTTTAAAAAATACATATTTATAAAATAATTTTATAGACAGTATGTATCAAATAGTAAAACCATTTTATATATACTACATTATATATACAAAGGTATACATTTTTTATATATAATGTATATGCATAATAATGTATTATGTTATAATTATTGTTATAATGTAATGTTTTATAGCGACATAGACTTTTATCAACATAGTTTTTTTTTACAGTATATCAAATTTAATTGTAAGTAATGTAAAATTAAAACAGTAAACTATATGAAATTATTTTATATTATAATTATAAACTTTAAAAAATAGAAATGTATGTGTGTGTGTGTGTGTATATGTGTGTGTGTGTATATATATATATATATATTCAATTAAAAAATTATATATTATATGTTTTTTTTTATTAGCCAACCACTCAAATAGCTTTTTTATAGAACAAAGTAAAATGTATGATGTATTTCTGATGTAATTAAGATTACTGTAAGCCACTGTCTACTTGAGATTACATTGAGAAACGTCCTCTTCTCCTGAGAGAGCCCGTAATAGTTGAATCATGACACTGAGTCACACAGTGCGCTATGAATTCTTGTTTTCCAAGTCGAATTTACAGTAAAATCCCTCATAGTACCTGACAGCTCCATCACTTCCGTTGAGATGTTTCCCATCCTATTATTCTTATTCACAGGCCTTCAGGGAAAAAAAGTCCATTTTACCATGTTGCAACGTCTCAGATAGACACCCACATGCATGCAAAACATCCATATCTCCTGCTGGGATCTAACCCCTAAATGCTATGTACTGTGCATTCCTATCTGTCTTTTTTCGCAGTCTCCATGTACTTATCTCCTGCTTCTACCACTTCCCCCTCCTCATTCTCCTACTCCTTCCTTTCACATCTCATAAAAACATGTCCATCGTTTTATGCGCCCATGAGATCTGTCAGATCATCAGGTCGGATTCCGCCAAATCAAACGCTCCACATCTCCTGCGTGCGCCTGCATAAATGAACCCATTGCGGCCCTGAGCAGTCCGAGCAGTCGGACCACTCCTGTGCCTTATTTTGTCTTCCCACTCCCGCCCTGTAGGGATCTGACTCCAGTTGTAAAAACATGGGTTTAGATGCTTGTTTTTAAGAGCCCTCTCACGAGCAAACGAAAGCTGAGACTAGGAGTTTGTAACAAAGACCCTTTAGTGGTAGACCAAGATGTTTTTCCCTGAGGTTCATGTTTTCCTTGTAGTCTGTTTGCCAAAACTCCTGAAAAACAAAGTCATACTTGGCAATGACTTCCTTTCCTTAATGCTCGTAATCAGATATGTGTCTTAAAAGTATACTGTTAAATGTAAGACTTGTGTTGCGTTATCCTCCGTGAAGACGCTAATACTACATCCTTTTCAAAGCAATGCAAATAATTTTCCACTGAAAACCAACCTTACAAATCTATTTAACATGCACAGTGTTGGGTTTTGGATAAAAAAGACCATAAAACTAGCCTGGCTAAACTACCCAGACAACTTCCGGCAAATTTAGATTTGCTCTGAAAGTTAGTCTGGCAAAGAGCTCATTCAAGCCCATTTCCAATCCGTCGAAATCGAGGCACCAATCAGAAACGTTGGGGCGGGCTTTACACGATGACGCTGGGATTTTGTAGCCTACATTACAAAGATGGATGCCGCATCCGTCGAACATCACTCGTTCGAATCAGCTATCGCATCTGTTTTAAGCGTTTCCTTTTTTGTTAAAAACCGAGCAAAGAACAACACTGTTTCTCCGCCGCTCTGCATACGTCATCTCCTTCATCGCTCTGATTGGTTTTAGGTCTATCCGCGACGTCCGTTGGTGACGCCCCTCTGGAAATGATTTGTCTATGACGCTTTGCCAGACCATAACTCAGTTACAACTGAGAATGGTCTGGTTTTAACCAGGCTACCATAAAACATCATTGGGATACAAATCACTGCAGCACAAAAAACAAAACAAAAAATCAAAATGATACTCACAGATATAGTAATATTCTCTGCCTGGACGAAATTCGAAACCCAATGAGAATGGTGTGAAAAGCTGAAACTTCTCGGAGAACTTCAGGGGCCCGTTGGGCGAGTGAGGCCGGTTGCACTCCCAGCGTTTGAAACCTTTCGCCGTTTGGTCGCAAGAACTGTAGCCGTCGTAGTTGACCATGTAGAGGATGTAGTGCTCCGTCTTCTCCTCAGAGACCGAGTCCATGTAGTGGGGACAGTATACGTCCAAATAATCATTAATGCATACGTCGATGTGGTAGTCTCCTCGGTAGAACCTGTGAAAAGGAGAGAGGCCTCAGTGAGTATATATTACATGAAATATTAGCGATGCAGTTATTCTCATTCGTATGTTTTACGAGCCATCGAGCCCCTACTTCACAGAAAGGCCACTTCTGGAGGAAGCCACTTATTTGAGGGCAATTACCGCAAATGTGAAAGCACGTAAATCATCCAATCTGAGTCCGCTAGGGCTCACTGAAGATCACAAGGAAAATTCATAATCCTGTCGTTGACGTGGATGCTTTAAATACGCCTGAAAGAATGAGTTTTCCATGGGCGAGAGATGACAGCTTGAAATATGGCACTCTGAGGAATGTTTTGGAAGAAGAAAAGGTGCATCTCTCGTGCCAAAACAGCCAACTATTCCAGATTTACATCTTGTTTATTATAAATCGAGATGACCTCGAGAGGATCTAACCAAATATGAATGTCAACAGAATGTGCACAAATTCATTTTGACAAGGAAGCAATTTAAAAACATAGATTCCCATAGGCTGCATATAAGAGTTTAGCGGAGATGGATACACTCTGGTCAGATTCATTTAGAGTCACTGCAAAAAATATTATTTTTCCACCAAGACTGTAAGTAAGGTGACGCAAGCGAACGTGACCGTGGTCCAGTGACTCGGCTTAAACATGCAGGATGCTCAGGATTTGGTGGGAATTTTCGGGGTGTAAGCCGGTGGACACCCAGCAGAAACACTGGGGATAGCCAGATGAGCTTCCAGGCTTATGTGAGTATAGTGTTGCTATCCTGATGTGGACAGAAGCACAGCTGGGCACGCTGACACAAAGATTTCCACTCATTACGGACAATAAAAGACTATTGAGAGCAGATGGAGCTCGAGACCTATCAGATTATCATTATGTGGATTTCAAACTCACTGCTGGAATACTGAGTTTCCCTGTAGGTTTGGCCGGTTTGGCGGTAGTTTGTGTGCGTGAATGCATGTTTGGGGCTGTGTATCGATGTTGCTTGATGTCTCCAAACACTTTAGGGCTATTTTGAACAACTATTGTTTACTACTTTTGGGAGCTACATCATTTAAATGGAAAGCAAAGTTTCAGCTGTGAAAAACATACTTCCCGAGTGATCACGCAGTCCAATGTTTTCAGCTAAAAATCTGGAATTTAGTGTTAAACATGTTTTTTTTTTCATCATTGGGCACTGGCAAAAACTAAGCTATTTCCTGATTAAATTGATTGGCTTATAAAGTGGAATGATTCAGTGTAGCGTTGACAAAAATCAGCGTACACCTACAGATTTCCAAAACTGGTGTCCAGAACATAGGATCATGGAATAGAACACACTTTTCAAAAAAGTGACATTAGTTAAAGTACTAGTTATCATGAACTAGTATTTAAAATTTCGGTTCATATTAATTTTATATATACTAATAAATCTCTAACATTTGAAGTTATACACTATCATTTAAAAGTTTAGGGGTGGTACATTCTTTAAAAATGTTTTTCACAGAAATCTTTTATGCTTGCCAAGACTGCATTTATCTGATAAAAAAAACAGTAAATCAAACAGTAAATATTGTGAAATAAATATTATTACAATTTAAAATAACTCTTTTCACTTTAATATATTTTAAAAGTGTAATTTATTCCTGTGATTGCAAAGATGAATTGTCAACAGCCATTACTCTAGTCTTCAGTGTCACATGATTCTTCAGAAATCACTCTAATATGCTGATTTGGTGTTCTAAAACATTTCTTATTATTATCAACATTAAAAACAGTTGTGCTGCTTAATATTTTTGTGGAAACTGATGCATTTTTTGTAGGATTCTTTGATCATCATGAGAAATACAAAGGTGAAAAGATCAGAATTTATTTGAATATAACAGAAATCTTTTGTAACATTACAAATGTTTTTACATCAATTTAATGCATACTTGCTGAATTAAAAAGGATTAATTTCTTTCAAAAACTTAATGACACAAAACGTTTGAACAGCTGTGTCATTTTACATTAAAGTATTATGAATAAACATGAATTGACAATAAACAATAGTATATTTATAAATTTACATTGACATTAAATGCTGTAACAAGGTTTGTTTATTGTAAAATTATTAGCTTATTGCTGCTTAAAGTATCACCTTTTTTTTCATTCAACGTCTCAAACTAAGCTTTAAATTAGTGCAAAAACACGCTAACAACACAAAGATCAATTTCCAATGTATGCATGAACTAATATAAAAAGTACATCTTCAATGCACTGTAAGTCACTTTGCATAAAAGCATCTGCCAAATACATAAATATACGGTGAAATGTAGTTCTAGTGAAAGCGAATGACGTTTCACCTGCCACATGGGAAATATCTTTGCTAGAGGATACTAAAAGACTATTTTCCCTATAGGTCAAAAAGTCTGAAGACCAGACAACATCATATTAGCTCTCTGGACAACAACACCTAAAGGCAACATAGTGCTTTTCTATGTCCTGTGTTAGAAAAATCAATGAGTGAGAGGATTGAGTCACATTGTGTCACTTTATAATATTCTTATGCGGACTCTAAATCAAATGCCACCTCAGCAATTCATTTTCAATGTGTATCAGATGAGCTCCAGTGAGTTATAAAGAGATTTGACCGCATTAAACCCAATAACAGACAAACAGCTCATCAATGTTGGGATTTCTTTCATGCGTTTGAAGAGCGATGGGCCAGCTGGTCAATAAACCACACAATGCTGTGCCAATTCATCATTAGGATTAAAAAAGAAGCTCATTAGCTGTATCTATCAGGGGTACTAACACAAACATGGCACATCGCTGCATCAGAACAAGTCTTACAACAAAAACCTCCTATAATGATAATCCCCCTATTCAGTCGATTCTCTCCATCGCTCTTTCTCTGCGTGTTCAAACAGAGGGTGATGGGTGATGACCGGGGCAGACCCGAGTCTAAAGAAAGGCAGGGCACCGGGAGGCAGTGGGTTCCAGGAGTTCATGATTAAAATTGGTTCATCCCAAGGTCAGACTCCTCAGACTTAACAATGGAATGAAAAATGAAGCAGGCTCTTCACTTAAGAATTTCCAACGGAAGCCAATTACATAAAAAGAATTCTGAGAGGTTGCCATTGATTTTCCAATGAAGGGAAGAAACTGGCAAAAATATCAAGCTAAGACATAGACAAGCCTCAGGACAAAACAGCATTATTTCTTTTGACGGGAGATCTTAGAGTGTTTAGAGGTTCACCAAAATGACTATTCAAATGTTCTGACATTCCAAACCTGTATGGCTTTCTTTCTTTTGAAACACAAAAGAAGATATTTTGAAGTCTTACAATGAAAGTCATGGGGTGCGATGTTATTTAGGACCCCATTGACTTTCAATGTATGGACAAAAACAAAATAACTTGAAAAAATATTTTGCGTTTGTGTTCTACAGAAGAAAGATAGGAATATCATGAGGGGTGAGTCATTTTTTTGGGTGAACTATACCTTACACCTTCCTGTAGAAGGCGCTCTTGAGGCAATGACTGACATGACTCCCAGGGGTGTCGGTCAGCTAAGCCTCGAGCCCTCCAGGCCTTTCACAATGGCACAGATGGAGGATCTCCTCCTCAGGTTACAGCTCTCGGGCCAGCCGTGGAGCAGTTGTCCCATCATTCAGTGGGGAGGCAACGGTACATCTCCCAACGCCTCAGATATCACTCATTCACCCCTTCCAAAAGAATGTCTGCCCAGAAGCATTAACATCACAGACAAACAATGGCCTGCCAGGACTTCAAGCTGTGCTGGCTTGGCAAACGCCTCAAAAGACGGATGAAGGTGAAGGAGGGGAGAAAAAGGCATATAAAAGCCGTCTCTCTGCGAGTTTCCCATGGAAAACACTCCGTGTGAGATTTTCTTGAAGAGACGAGATATATGGCTCGCTACATTAAAAACATATTGGTGTTTGTGGGAGGCATGTCTATATTTCAGAAACATTGGCAAAGGACATACAGCAGTGGATTAGAGAAAAAAGGCTTTGGTTAAGGTACATATTTGAGGACGGATGTGTGGATAGAAGAAAGCAAGCAAACTTGAGTGAGTGAGAACGGGACTATCGGTCTTGGGTGCGATTGTTGCTTGTCTAACATGTATGATATGTGGAAAATATTCACAGTGCTACAGGTTAATCTTCCTGCTCTCGTGTCGTCGTGATTAGTGGAGTGCAGTATGGTATATGTCACTCATCAAGTAACAGGACTATCCTGCGGTTAACCCTATGGGCTGATAGGGTTGAAGACACAAACACAAACGGCTGACCTTCATATCTTATATTCACAAGCCCTTGATTCAATTTGATTCTGATTTTGATTCATTTAGATTTCAGTATATTTCATAAGTTATGGTAATGATCATATGATCATACATGAAAAAAATCTCAAGTATTTCAGACTGATTTAAACAGGTTACTTAATAAAATAATAGGCTCATACGAATCAATTGTTTTGGGAATCAGGCTACACTGGTTGAAAAAAGTAAATGTAATTGTTCACCCAAAAAATGAAATCCAGTAATCATTTACTCACTCTCATGTTGCTCTAAACCTAGAATATGAATGGTATTGACTTTTCTTTTGTGGAACAGAAAAGAACATTTTTGTGAAGAACGTTCAAACTGTTTGTCCATATAATAAAAAGTCAATGTGGTCCAAGAAAACATTGAACCACACTGAAATTTTTTTTTATGGACAAAAAACATGTAGACGTTCTTAAAACACTGTTTTTTTCTGTTCTGAAAAAGTAAAAGGGCATACAGATTTGGAATGACATGAGGGTGAGTAAATGATCACATAATGATCCAACCATTCCATGTTTGGGTGAACTATCTCTTTATGAATCAGTATCTCAATCGAGAAAAATCTGTAAAATTTTTACGCACCCTAGAATAGTCTGCATTAGGTTTAGCAAAAGGTCGCAAATGGGACACCCTGTGGCCTCGTGAACTTCACGGACGAGCGCAAGTAAACATACTTCTTATAAATAACATACTT